ATTTCAGTATTTAAGGCCAGTAACATGGCTTACTGAGAAATGGGCTTTCAGGAAAAGTGCAAAAACATGAATTCTATTCTTCAATCCCCAGTTCCCACATTAGAAGGAGAGAGACAACTCCAAAAATTGTCTTCCCACACCTGTGTATATCTCACCATGTGCTTGTTCTTACACAAGGTTACAATAGTAATAAGTATTATTGATTACATAAAAGGAAATTAGAAAAGTCTTAAAAGTCTCCCTGAGAGAAACTGGAATAAAATCCAAATATTATAACAAAAGGTTTTTCAATAAAGCTTTAGGAACTCTGTTAGGAACTGAGGACAGTGACCAAAGTGTATTTTTCTCAATTATTTCACACCAGGTAATGACTAACTTTATGTACCTTAATGAAATACATGTGGTGATTACAATGGATACAATTTATTTCACCTGCTCATTTTTCTAAACACAACTGGCCTTCCTGATGCCTGAGGCCAAGGTCATTTTATATGTGCACATCTATGTTTCTTTGGAAGAAGTACTCTAAGAGTTTGGAGAGGTGATATTAGAATAATGTTTGCAGGGAGAAGCTCTGACTCTTCACAAAGGAAGAAAAAGGAGATGTGATGGTCTTTCAGCCATTTCATTAGCTCATTCTTTCCAGTCTTCCCATCAGAAATCTGCAGTGATACCTTCAAAAGAAGGAGCCAGCAGTCCTACAGGACAAACAGGAGTTGAACTTTACTCTGAGCAGTCCTAAGATAACTCCTGATTCTAGTGTCCATGAGATTAAGACTCAAGGGAGGGAATAGAAAAAAAAAGGGGTGAGGAAGAGGAGGAGAGAGGAAGAGAAGTATAAAAAGAACCAGAGAGGAAAGAAGAGGATAAAGAATGACAAGAAATGAGAAATGAGAGGAAGCAACATAAAAAGAATAAGCTAAGAGGAAGTGCCCATGAGCAAAGAGGTCATACATCAGGATCCTCTCAACCAATGTCTTTCTCATTAGTCCAGAGCAGTTACCCACTGCCTTGCCAGCACAGGTTACAGTATCATAATGCTACCTACTGTCAGTAGCACTCTTTGGAATTCTCCCTTAGGTTCCAGCTGCCACCATTGCCAAGAAAACTAACAACCAATGATAGCATTGCCCTCACTATGTTGATCATTGAATGAGTCACACCTCAATCTTTTTCTCCATTTTATTTTTTTATTTTCTCTGGTTTCTGAATAGCTTCTTGGACCTAAGGTAGAATTAGACCAATGATTTCAATTTGATTTTTAAAAAAGCCCCTTAAGTGCTTTTCAGCAATTTTCGATTCCTCTATTTAGAATTCTTTGTTTAGTTCTGTACACCACTTTTTCATTGGATTATTTGGTGTTTTGGTGACTAGATTCTTGAGTTCTTTGCATATTTTGGCCAGTGAAGTATCCAGTGGAAATGAATTCACCTCCAGTCCCCAGATAAGGGAAACTCCAAGCTCCATTGGGGTTTCCAGGCCCCTTGTCCAAACAGATAAGAATGGATGCAGTTGATGGCCAAGCCTTGGAGAGGGCCTCCACTTTGACCCTTATAAAAGCTTCTCAGTTTCAGGAGGTCCCATTTATTAGTTGTCAATCTCAGTATCTGTGCTATTGGTGCTATGTTCAGTAAGTGGTCTTCTGTACCAATTCATTCACGGTACTTCCAACTTTCTCTTCTAAGAGGTTAAGTGTGGCTGAATTTATGTTGAGGTCTTTGATCCATTTGAACTTAAGTTTTGTGAATGGGAATAGATATGGATCTCTCTGCAATCTTCTACATGTCAGGATCCAGTTATGCCAGCACCATGAAATTGCTCAGCATCCTTAGCTATCAGGGAAATGCAAATCAAAACAACTCTGAGATCCCATCTTACATCTGTCAGAATGACTAAAATAAAAAACACCTATGATAGTTTATGCTGGAGAGGATGTGGAGAAAGGACACTCCTCCAGTGCTGGTGGGAGTTCAAACATATACAGCCACTTTGGAAATCAGTATGGTTGTACTCAGAAAAATGAGAGTCTACCTTAAGATCTGACAATTCCTCTCTTACGCACATACCCAAAGGATACACATTCATACCACAAGGACATCTGTTCAACTATATTCATAGCAGCATTATTTGTACTAGCCAGAACATGGAAACAACCTAATGTGCCTCAAACAAAGAATGGATAAAGAATGGATAAAGAATGTACATTTATACATTTATACATTTATGCAATGGAATACTACTCAGCCGGAGGGGGGTGAAATCTTGAAATTGGCAGGCAAAGAAACCATACTGAGCAGGTAACCCAGACACAGAAAGAAAAACATGGTATGTACTCACTCATAAGTGAATATTGAACATAGAACAAAGGATAACCAGCCTACAATTCACGACCCCACAGAAGCTAGGATGCAAGGAGGACCCTAAGAGAGACATACATTAACACCTGGAGATGGGGAAAGAGATAAGATCTCCTGAGCATATTGGGAGCACAGCAGGAGGAAGACAGAGGTAGGAGGATGGGAAGGAGTAGAAGAATACATGATGGGTCAGGAAGATTGAGGTGAGGGAAGAACAGAGAAAAAGAGCAAGAAAAGAGATACGTGTGATGGGAAATGTACTTCTTTGTATGTTTATCTTATTGATTGTTGAATAAAATACTGTTTGGCCAATGGCAAGCAAGGACTAGGAGTCAAAGAGGATTCTGGGAAATGTAGTAGAGAAGTGATGATCCAGGCAGGAAGTGACATGGCAAGGAGACTCATATCTAAGGGAGGAAACAGGAAGTATGCCCTCTTTTCCCCTCTGCTCCTGCTCCAGCGGCATGATGTGATCCACCAGCCAGGAGGGATGCCAATAAGGCGTCTGATAAGATAAGTCTTATAAAAAATATTGATTTATGATAATTAAGACTGAGCTAACAGATGAGAATCCTAGTCATTGGCCAAGCAACATTGTACCTAATACAAGTTTCTGTGTATTTATTTGGGTCTAATTCGGGCGGGTGGCTGGCATAAAGCATACACGTGATGGTGGGGCTCAGGCAGCTTTTGGTGGAAAGATTTATCATAACATACGTGAATCGAGGGAGCCATTATAGGTTTAAAGATAAATTTGGCACTAGGGAAATGTCCAGGGATCCACAAGGATGACCAAGTAAGAATCTAAGAAGTAGTGAAGAGGCTACCTTAAATGCCTTCGCCTATAATGAGATTGATGACTAACTTAAATGCAATCCTAGAGTCCTAGAGCCTTCACACAGTAGCTGATAGAAGCAGAAGCAGATACCCACAGTTAAACATTGAGACAAACTCCTAGAATCCAGTTGTAGAGAGGGAGGAGTGGTGAGCAAAGGGGTCCAGACAATACTGGGAAAACCCACAGAAACAGCTGACCTGAGCAAGTGGGAGCACACAGACACTAGTCAGACAGCTACGGAACCAGCATAGAACCAAAGGAACCAGCATAGAACCAAACCAGGCTGCCTGAATATAGATGCCAGCTGGGAGACCAGGGCAGTCTATGGGACCAATGACAATGGAACCAGTATTTATCCCTAGTGTACACATGGACTTTGGGATCCCATTCCTTATGGAGGGATACTCTCTACCTGGATACATAGGGAAGCTCCTAGACCCTGTCCTAAATGATGTGGTAGACCTTGATGATCCCCTATGGGAGGCCTCACCCTCCCTGGGGAGTGGATGGAGGGTGGGATAGGGGGATATATGGGACTATGAGAGGATGGGAGGGAGAGGGAGCTGGGATCAGTATGTAAAAATAAGATTGTTTTAAATTTAAATTTATTTTTTTAAAAAAAGCCTCCTTGGAGTTTCTAAACTGACCAATGGCAAAGCAACTAAGAGAAATTAAGGATATCTTTGAAAATTTCAGATTAAAAAATCAGATTATTGGTTGAATCAGGGGAAGAATAGAAGAAAGCATATGTACTAGGTAGAGTTTTAGTTGAGGGTGGTAGGGGAGTACAGGAGGGAGAAGGGACCTGGGATTGTCATGTAAAACTATCTTGTTTCTAATTCAAATAAAAAAATCTGAAAAGGAAAAAAAGAATGCAACACATATTTGCATCATTAAACAAATAATTCACAGTAAAAAATCAGATTATCAAATTTTAATGGAGAATTATATAATTAATCAATAGATAAAGAAATAATGGATAGATTTTGAGAATACATTTATAGTAGATATATGGTAAAGAGGTGATATCTATAATATATGAAAATATTTACAAATTTAGAATGGAAAAACAACCACCCAACAGAAAATGAGTGATTGAGAAATTAATAAAAGAGAAAAGCAAAATAATCAATAAATATGTTAAGATAGTTGACCTAACTAGGAACAAAGGAAATTTCACTTAAAGTAAGAGCATCTCCCTGGTTATCTGGGATTTGGGGAAACCAGGCCAAGCATCTGTAGACTTGAGTTTCTCTGTTAGGAAAGCACTTTTTCTAATACTTCATGGAATTTTGGTCTGTTTGCTCTCAGCTGGTCAGCATCACCACAGCCCCTGATAAGTGATGTCTTTCAGCCCCAAATGAAGCAGGAAAATAGGCCTCTCTCCATCAGGTTTTGGTGTTCAACTCACCCCTCTGATAGCACCCTTCTACTCAAATTCCATCTCAGTACATGAAGCTTCAGAACATAAGGTGGTCCAGAGTTCCAGATTGTCGGAAAGTGGGGCTGCAGGTCATGCTCGTGTGGCCATACGAGGACAACTGGGAAAGACCCAACTGGACTTCATATTTGACTGTGACACAGAAAAGTGGTCTGAATCTATAGTGGGAAATTACCAATACGGAGTCAGGTAGAAATATAAGGGTATTTAATAGGGAAAGGCCTTACTTACAGAGGAAACCAGCCAGCCGGTGGTAGCAGTCTGTACAGCAAGCAGCAAAGAGAAACCGAAACCGAAAACGCAGTCCCACTACGTCACTCTGACCACGCCCTCACAAGCCTGGTCAGGCACACCTGTAGCCAGCCCCTAAGAAGGCATGGCTACAGTTTCCCCTACAATTCCCCTTTTAGTCTAAAAGAGGATTAAAACTTAACAGTATAAAGTATCCAAAATTAACAATCATAAAGGTAAAATATAAGAAGATATATACATATCCCAACCTCCCTGTCATTTAGGGATCAGCTTTTTTGGCCATTTCAGACTACTGGCTATTTTGGTCCATACAGTTGGTCTGTGTTGCCTGCTTCCTGCTGAGCATCTCTGTTAGATCTTCCTGCCTGAGACCTCTGTTTCATCTTGAGCCAGACCTGAAGAAAATATCTTTTTCTTTAGACCCTTGGGAAGCTGTAGTCTAAAAGGTTCTCTCAGTAAACCAGACAAGCCTTGCAGTATTCTTGATACTGTGTCATCTTTTCTACTAGGAACTGGCCTGTCCATCTGACTCTTAACTTACAGGACACAGTGAATATGGTCTTTTGTAGCTTTCAAAGTTGAGTTATAGGCAGTTTCCTGGCCTGGACTTTTGGGAATACTTGAGATATTCTATCTTCAAATACAGCTACCATGTTTAGGAAAGACTATATGAAGTCTCTCACATCTCACATTAGCAGCCTAACTCATCTCCCAGCAATCAACCAGCTAGTGTGCAGACTAGCAAGGGCTCTTTCCCACCCAGCCAAGTGTTTTTGTATAACTCATCCATCCCAGACAGCAACGTGATATTCACCTGTGAGAACCACCAGTGAATCCAGGCAGCTTACATAACTATGAAAGATCAGAATAAATATCTGTTTTGAGCCTCTTACTTTTACTGTTTTGTTACATGTCATTAGAACAGGCCTTATAAAAGGCTTTGAGAAAGGGACCAATACAATATACCACCAATTTCCAAGTCAGCTGTGGATGTATCAGAGTGGAAGGAATGTGTTAATCACTCAGACTTACGTGCTGTTTCCTCTCGTTCTTCTCTGTTCGTCAGTTCAGGCAAGTCCACATCAGTGCAGACACTCTCAGTGCCCATTTCCTGATTCAAACTTGTCATTCCTTCCAATCAGAAGGGATAGAAAACCAGTCTCAAAATGGCTTTAGTAATAGAGTCAGATAATTGCAGGCAGGCATTTCCAGCTGCAGAAAAAACTTTGATTATGGACTCACAGCACTTATACTTTTTCTAGATCTCTTTCTTCCTTGGCTCCTCTTTGTAGCTTTCTATACATCTTTAGACTCCCTGCAGATTTCAACAGCGGCAAGTTTCACATAGTAAGATGGTCAGGTGTGAATTCTGGCCCTGCTCCTTGATATCTGGGTCATGGGGCGTGAGTCCTCAGCTACTCTGGCTTTAATATAAACTTCTGTAAAATGGGAACAATAAACATAGACCCCATGTAGTTGCTATATTAAATTAGCACACACACACACACACACACACACACACACACACACACACACACACACAAAGAAATTCAAGCAGTGCCCATGATATACAGCAGTAGAGTCATAGTAGTTGTTTATAGTAATAATAACATCAAGCATAGGAAAGAGAATCTGCAAGTATCATTTCCCAGAGGGTACTCAGATTCTCACCAGATTTCCTGAACACATTATGGGGTCTCAAAGGAAGACTGACAATTTAGCTCAAAATAACTCAGAGTTCTAACCTGAGAGAGGGAAGGGAGTCAAGGGTGAGGAATGTGTAACTCTGCTAAGAAGGGTGGAGAGACTATTCTTGGAAAACAGTTCAGATCACCCAGTAAGAGAAACTCAGTGTCAGATCTTATTACCAGACCACTGTACCCAGCTTGAGAGCACCTTCCATCTTCTCTCAAAGGCAACTGAAAAGAGCTTCTGTTGTGAAACAAGAGATGTCTTCTTGGTCTTCTCAGCATCTCCCTGTGTAGCCATGTGTCCTTGCCTACAAGGGGCATCCAAATGACTCCATGCTGTCATTATGACTGTGGATACAACTGGATTTGTGTTTTCCAGAACAAATCTGGTTCATGCAATCTGTAGCCCATAAATCCTTTCCCTGTGGAGTAAGAGGAAAATGCCACACTACAAATGATACATGTTGTTTCTTAGTCTCAATGAAACATTTCTCTCTCTTGTACATAATTAATTGTTAATTGAAAGCATAATGAATTATAGCTGCCTATAATTAATTTAGCAAGAGATTTTGTTGAAATATGACTATGAGTCTTTCTCCAGACTTATCTTGTTTTAGAAATCAGAGGGAAAGTTGTGCACAAATTCTTTCACAGCCCAGTGCGTGTTAAGCATCACAGATTGGTAGGGTGTGGGAAAGGTGTGAAAGGCAGCACAATGAAAGGATGGCCTCCACAGGGACAGCATCTGTCACTGGAGCTATCTGTCTCTCTGGCAAAGTTACTTGGCTCAGGTCTGAGGGAGACAGCCATTGTTGCCAGTAGTCACTAAAAGCCTCAAAAAGGAGCTGAGGAATTGCTTCATGGCTTAAGCTCTTCAACTGGGTTATTTTCAAGTTAGAGGGAGAAGTGTCCTGTCAGAGCAAATAAATCTGTTCTCTTCTGGATGTCAGATTGGGACAGGAGGGGAAATGATCTCCAGATCACAAATTATCTGAGTGTCTCTGCATTGGGTCAGTTGACCTCAGATCCTAGCATAAATGTTCCTAATAATAAACTCCACAGTGAGTAGGACCTATGCTGAAGGTTTTATGAGTTTACTATATAACATGTCTCAAAGGTCGGAGAGGGATAATTGACAGTTCTCTTAGGACATTTGAGCTCAGATAGCTGATATTCTCTTCCAGAGAAGCCTCTAGAACCACGGACTCACTCCATTCTCTAGCAGCTTCATTCACTCTCAGAACTTCAAAACAGGGCGCTGGGCCAAGAAGTATAGAGAAAATTCTTTTTCACCATATTTTATCAATAGTATGCAATTAAAATGTCTTTGAATTTAAGCTATCAGTATCATTTTTCTCCCTTTGTTGATTCCATGCTGATTATGTTCTTAACTTACAAAACTCCTTTTGTGGTCAATTGTATTCACAGCCATTTTCTCCCTGCTCAGTCTCATTCTCACACACTCCTCCTGTCCAACTGGAGGCTCTGCCTGGTACTCACCCCCTTCTCTCATCAATGCAAGCTGCTCTCCACCACAGTCTGCACTCATCATCACTGCAACATGTCTTCACTCCCAATTGCATCTTTTTCACATCTCCACATCATTATTTTTATTATTCATAATAGATTCTTCTCTCATACAATACATCCAGACCTAAGTTTTACCTACCTCCACTCCTCACAAGCTATCCTCCACTTTTCCTCTCCCCGAAAACCACTTCACCTCCATCTCCCTTAAGAAAATAGCAGGCCTCCAAGAGACAAAAAACAAATATGATCAAAAAAGATACAATGAGACAAGGAGAAAGCCCTCATGTCTGAGCTGTATAAGGCAACCCAATAGGAAGAAAAGAGTCCCAAGAGCAGGAAAATTAATCAGAGTACCCTTTCCTCCTGTTAGGAGTCCCACAAAAACACCAAGCTGTCAGCCATAACATATATAGAAGACCTGGTGCAGACCCATGAAAGCCTTGTGCTTGCTGCTTCAGTCTCTGAGAACCCATATGCCCTGCTTAGGTGATTCATTGGGACATGTTCTCTTGGTATCTTTCAGGACATCTGATTCCTACAGTTTTTCCTCCTTCTCTTCCATGGGGTTTCTGAGCTATGAAGGGAAGGACCAGGTAGAGACCTTCAATTTATACTCTGTCTGCACAATGTCCTGCTGTGGGTCTCTGCATCTGCTCCCATCTGCTGCTGGAGAAAGCCTCTCTGATGATGACTGGAAAGGCACCAATCTGTGAGTATACCAGAATATCATTAAGAATCATTTTGTTGATTTATTTTTGTTTTAGCTAGTAATATTTGATTCTATCCTAGGTCTCTGGGGTATCCAGTTCCTAGTTCCTGACCACCCAGGCAGTGTAGGGCATGGGCTCCCTCTCATGGCATGGGAATAAAATTAAACCAGACATTGATTGGCCACTCCCACAAGTTCTGTACCACCAAATACATCTTGTAGGCAGAACAGATTATAGGTCTAATTTTTTGGTGCATGGGTTGGTATCCAAGTTTCTCTTTCCTTATCCTGATATCTACTTCCTCTGACCCCTGGTTTCTACAGACAATTCACCCTACACTCTGAGATTCTATCACATCACCTCATCTGGAAAGATTTTACTTATCTTTCATGGCATGGCATGGCATAGCATAGCATGTCAGTCTGTCTGTCTGTCTCTGTTTGTGTCTCTTTCTGTGTGTGCACATGTGCATATACAGGCCAGAGATCAAAATTTTGTATATTCTTCAATTTCTTTTCACCCACCCACCCCTTTTTTTCTTAAGATAGGACCTCTTGCTAAGCTTTAAACTTGACAGTTTGGCTGCAATCCCTGCACATCACAGGGATTCTCTTGCCTCTGCTTCCCCAGCCCTGAAATTACAAACATGTGCCACCATTTCTGCTTTTAGATGAGTGCTGGAGAATCAAATTCAGATTCACTTTACTGTCTTAGCCATCTATCCAGCCCCTAATTCTTCTTGTCTTAAGAGATAGAAACTCCCTACTCTTATCAACACAGAGTTTAATCTATCTCTCTATATAAAGGTTGGGTATGGGTTTACATCCCTTCTTCCAGGGAGACTGTACAATACCAATATATCTGCCTTAATGGCAGTGTCCTGTGATATACACACTTTGATGAAAAAGAGATGTCTGCTCAGATCCTATCTCTCCAGGGAACTCCTGGGACACAACACCCTTCAGTACCAAGACAATCCTTAAGACAGCTTTGGTAATGATAATTATTAGTTAAGAATGAATGAAGATGCTTAATTTTGTCTTACTTTTTTAGAGAAACACATTCTGCCTTTATTCTCTCCCTAAGCACAGCATTTGAATCATCAATAATCATATCCAAATAGTCATAGGAATAATTATATTTCCATCAGGCAGAAGCCAATGCAGGGAGAAGAATATAAGCAAGAGACTTCTGAACCTTTGAAACAAGGAAAGATGAATAGCCTGGAGGACGCTTTGTTTAAATGATGGCTGGCAACAGCTCCCAGAGCAGTCTCTCTCAACCTTTCACTAAAATACAGATGTGAACACAGGGGAAACATGAGTGTATAGCATGGTAAATGAAGTCATACAGACTTGTGCTAGAAACTGAGAATGATAGACTCTCATTCTGAAGTATATAAAGCTGACGAGAAAATTCTACTAAGGCTTCCATGAAAGAGAGACTATACTTTAATATGAGAGAAAGAAATCTTCTAAAATATGGGGGGAGGAATGTCTTCTCCACCATTTGAGATTTGATTCATAAACCCAAATATAATCAGAAAGCTGGGAAACAAACCAGCTTTTTCCACAGCAAAAGGTCCTCTGTAAAATAGGCTGAACACTGACCCAGTGTTCCTTCATCTAGACAGGCATTCTTAACATATATGAACTCTGAACAAATATTGAAGCAAACCATAGGAAGTAAGAATGGAAATGAAGTATCTATGAGGAAAGAGTTGTTGATAAGAGCTAGGACTTAACGGAGTCAAGGTAGAATCCAACTCCAGTTTCTACAACACAGTAGAAGTATCTATTACTTCACTGTGCAAGGCTCTAGGCAAAATTAATCCATTAGTAGAAATACGAGGTAAAATGTTCACAGGAATAATCTCAATTCCATGCTAGCAGAGACTAAGAAAGAGATCTGATGATCAGAGATTGCTCAGCAGTTAAGAGTGCTGGTTACTCCTCTTGAGGTCACAGGTTCCAGTTCTCAGCACCTATATAGTGACTAACAACTGTCTGCTACTAGAGTTCCGGGGGTTCTGAAGCCCACTTTTGGCCTCCATGAGAATTGCATGCATGTAGTACACAGATATACATGCAGGCTAAACACCCACATCACACAGAAGTATTATAACCCCAGTATTCATACCACTCATCTCCGACTCTGCCCCTGAGTATATATTACATCATCCTAGCATGCAACAAGCCTCTGCAGACTGTCTCCTCTTTCCATATAGAGTAGAATTTGTAAAATTTGACTCTTATTACAATGCTGAGATGGAGTTGCTGGGCAAATTGAGGAGAATGACACTGTTGTTGCATCAAAGTTTTTCTTTCTTACTCTGTAAAATGTAGAATGGAAAAAGTATATGAATAAGAATGTGTTCACTTAGACTAGCTGTGGTGACTGAGAAGAGTACCATTAGGATGGGTTCACACACTGCCTTCTCCACTCTCATCCACAATTGGATTTCTGTAAAGTTCTATATGCAGTGTAAAAGCAAGGCTGGAATCAGAAAATCATATGGAGTTATTGTTAAAAGGGCCTTTTCTGTGGTGATATGTTATTTATGATTTATTAAAACTTACCTGAGGATTCAGAAAGCAAAGTCAGCCTCAAGCAGTGATGGTACACACCTTTAATCCCAGCAACCAGAAGCTAGAAGGTGGTGGTAGTACACACATTTAATCCCTGGACTCAGGATTAAGAGATAGATAGATCTTTGTCAATTCAAGGCTGCCATGGCCTACACAACAGTGAAGAGTAATACAGCTCATGCCTTTGATCACAGCACCTGGGATCACACATCTTTAATCCTAGCATTAGGGAGGTATGTAAGATAGGAACAGGGTCTCAGAGCTGACATTCATTTCCAGCAACATTAACGATAGAAAGACAATGAAGTCTCAGAATTTTCCAGACACATTGAGGAGATCATAACAGTCTGGGATTGCAGTCTGAGGAGCTAGGGTGGCCTTTCAGTAGAGGTTAGAGCTAGTGGCTGTCTGCTTTGCTTTTCTGATTTTCAGCTTGAAGCTTGAAGCTTGAACCCAAATATCTGTCTCTTAGTCTTTAATTTACCATGTTACACTTGTCATTGTGTTCCTCCTTAAAATCTGCAGCCCCTTATGGCAAGGTGATTTTCCCTGGGTGTGACTGAAACATAGGCAATGTCATATTAGCAAGTCTTGATACAGAATGAAGATGTACCACTACAACCACACAGAATCTTGGCACCAGTGGAAGAATCATGGCCATAGCAGCATGGACCTTTGGGCATTGGAAATGGTGCTGTGTGGGATGACTTCTGCTACCAGATAAGCTGAATAGGATTTCTAAGATGGAAAAAAAGGAAAATGAATGACTGCCTTTACTATCCATTGAAACTTATCCTAGCCCATAAAGACTGAACACCAGGGAGAAGCAGAAACTAACTTCTAGAATTTTGATTTTCAGTCTCAATCATGAAAGTAAGTTTTCTTATTACTGGACATTTAACAACAGGAATGTCCAGACTGCCCCAGGTTTTAGCCTAAAATCCAATGCATCTAGGAATGCTAGCTTCAGTCATTATCTGTCCTCGAAAATCTTCCATATTAATATCTGATCACAAAGATGTTCACAACAGCCACTATACCACAGAGGCTAATATTAGAGTTATCTGGTAGGTAGAAAATGATCCACCACCAACAACAAAACAGACTGATGAAACTTCACAATACTAAAAAGATATGGACCTAGGTACCAGTCTTCTTAAAAAGGTGATTCACCATTTTGAGTTGGTTTAATACTACTTCCATTTAGCAGAATATAATAGACTCTTCTAGAGTCTGCGATCTGTCCAGCCATAGGTTTTTGGCCCAATGATAGTGCCAAGCACAGGTTTCATCATGTAAACCAGGCCTTAAATCCAGTCAGAAGCTAGTTGGTTAGTCCTACTACATTTGTGCCACTATTGCATCAATAACATTTTTAATTGTAGTTCATAGGGTTCCCACCTCAGTAAGACTGGTGAGTAGTTTTTCTTCTAGTAGCATACATAACATCTTCCAACACTATGAAAAGTAGCCAATAGGAACAAAATTGTTAAATAATAATTTTTAACTTAAAAAATGGTTCTTATTGGCTCTAGGTTGCCAACATTGAAAAACATTTTCTAGGCTTGCCTTTTATCTGGCTGCTTTGCTGAGCATCTAGTAGCCCCTGTTACTCCAGTTATCTCCAGGCCAGCTTTAAGGGAGAGAAATACCTTGAAGAGTAAGGTTTTGGAGCTTGTGCCCTCAGAACTACTTAACCTGTAATTTTATATTATTATATTATTTTCTCTGCCTATTATTTCGAATCTCCCATCTCCCACTCTGTGCTGTTATTCTAAGTGATCACAATCTATTCAATCTTCCTTTGCCTGGATTAATTCAGCTGAAAAGCACAGCCTGCATGGAAATGAAAAAGAAAAAAATTACTTTTATGGTTTCTCTTTAATTGTCTAGGGAAAGCAACTAAGCTTAGAACCAGTAGAAACCTGTAAAAGGAAAGAAACCTGGGCAACCCAAGTGACTTAGAGATGTGACAAAATTAATTAAGGCTATGTGGGTTGCAACTTACCAATCTGTCAAAATTTTCTTAAAGAATAATTTAAACTGTAGTTAGCAGAACCTGTAACTAGGTACTAGAAAGTACATTTTTTGTTTTTTGCCTTCTGCCTTTTAGGTATTTTAATTTGTTACATGCTACAATTTACTTGATTTTCTTTTCCCAGGACATTTCAGCTATTTGTAGTGAAATAAGTAAATTCCAGAGATATCTGAGTTTATACTGTTTGTCCTGGTCTGTCTATGGATTATATATGGTCAGCAGAATCATTGTTCCTACTTCAAAAATATCCACACCGGAATCCTGAATTTGTTGAATCTATTAGCCTAGTGACAAAGTGACTGTGTAGATGTAATTATGATAAAGACACTGAGATTGAAATATTATCTAAGATTTTCTATGAGGACCATATCTAATATCAAAAATTCTGAAAATGGAATACAGGAGAAGAAAGAAAAGAATTCATGTGAGAAGGTTATGGTGGAGAATGACAGGCTGTGTTTAAATCAGGAGCAAATACAACCATCTCGGCAATGGGAACCTGTGTCTTAAAACAGCCAAGAACCAAATCCTGCCAACAGCTGAGTAGAAAAGGAAGTGCACGCTTCTGTAGAGTATTCAGAAATAGATGCAATCTGTGAACACCTTTGTTTTGACCCAAGAAATGCTACCTTAGACTTCCAACCTGTGCAACTGCACACTAAGCTGACACTGTGCACACAGCTAATTCCGTGTGCAATTTGTCACAGAAGTAGTAGAAAACTAATAAAGGAGGGCAAACTAAGGTGGTTTGCAAGTGCACAGAAACTCTGACGGGACTGCCAACAAATGAAACATCAGCGTTAATGTTGAATTCTGTGTTTCTCTTTTTGTTGTCCTACACACTGAGTCTGAAGGATGTAGAGATTTTCATGATTAAAAAAATAAAGTTAAATACAAATTCTGAGATCCCTATAAAAGCCAAGACAAGTCATGACAATTGGTTGATTAACACCACCTCCTCCTCCCCCCAGGCCCCGCCTTTGCTGCATTTCTGTTTCCTTTCCCTCAAACTAGGCTGGGGGCCTCAGCTTCAGCTATGTAACTTTCAGAATAATACTGGCAAACTCATGATCTTAGGTACATTCTGCTGTCAAGGAATGGAAGCTTTTGAAAATTTTGGACCTGTGCAGGGCCAACAAGGACAATAAAATCTACCTGAAGTCAAAGTGACCAAGAGTAAAAGTGGAAGAGACAATGTCTGCAACTGACCAAATAAAATGGCTCCTCAGAGACATCTCAGGGGCTGGAGAACTGGCTCAGCCATCAAAGGCTAGTCTCACAACCGAAAATATAAGAGATGTCCCAGAATTGTTTAAATTATCTTTATTTATTTATTTGTGTATATGCATGTTCCAAGCCATGTATTTGAAGGTCAGAAAATAACTTGTGGGAACTGGTCCTCTTACTCCACCATGTTGGTTTTGGGAATCAAACTCAGGTTGTCAGGCTTAGCAGCAGGTGCTTCTGCAAGCTGAAATATCATACAGTAGCCCCTAATAGAACCTCGTTTACAACTAGACTAAATGTTTCTTTTATTTGTCTGTTCTTGCAACATGTTTTCTTCTTTTGATTTTTATTTGTTTATTTATTTACTTTTTTTTTTTTTACAAAATCCAAATTGCCCATGGAGACAATATGTTTTCCAGAAGACATCTTGTCAAGGATAAGAAACAAACTGCTTATGGATAAAATATTCTATAACCTTGAGTTTCTAGCAATTTGTCTAGATTCTGCATCAGTGGACATCAAGCAGGGCTTTTCAGCTTCTGAACATTCTAGACAAAGGCCAATTATTTCATGTTAATTTCATGATGTTTGCCTGTAACTATTAAAAAAAAAAAAACAGAGGATTAGGGTTATAACCCAGTGGTAGGCAATTTTCTAAACTCAAAGAAAATCTCTTTGTTGCCCTGATTAGATGGAATTTATTAGAATGAAACACCTTTTGGAGCTGGAAATCTACCTACCAAGCAGACTGGTGTCCCACTGGGTTCCTCTTATTGTAAATGGGTACTACAGTTTCACATATTAGTCTTCATCCTTACAACCATTACTTTAGGTATGCAATCTCTCCATTTTCAAAATGAGGAAAATAAATTTCAGAAAGGACACTTCCCTTTATCAAAGTCAATAAACTAACCAGTGGACAAGTCAAAGCTTTGCACCCTCCCAGTCAGATCCAGACACACTGTGTCCACAAGGACAGGCCCATAGGAATCCAGCTGGAAAAAACTTCCTCCAGAGATACCTCAAGACTATAGACTGACAGTTTCAACACTGTCACTTAAATCTATGATGCCCACACCAAGGGTCAGCCATCATGTGGTATCTTACTTGAAAAAGTCAGGCAGTAAAAGCCAATTCTCATCGTGCCTTCCTTGTGTGTATGTGTGGCAGGGATAGTAGTTAAGGTATGTGAAGACTTACAATGCTGATATTTCAATGCACAACTGTAGAAAAGAAAGCAAGCAGAATGACCTAATAGGATTGTATAGATAAAAGCATCCAACTAAATTGATGCAAATTTTACAATCTTACCTGGACTTCCCCCATACATACAGCAAGTGCTATAGACTTCTTTGCATACAAGAGAAATGATCTATAAAACCATGTAGCATTCCATTTCCAGAACCAAGAATTCTCCTTTCCAACTACTAAGATCTGCTAATTGATACACTGTGGGTTTTTTGGCCAACCAGTATCTTATTTCCATAATGTCAGTTGGTGGTTTAGTACATTTTATTTTTATGGTTAGTTTGCACCATTCAGTCTGGGTATAAAGCCAATTCATCTACCAAAGTATTCAGCATGCATCAGTGGACACCCAGCAGTGGCTTTTCAGCCTCCGTACATTTTAGATAATTATTTCATGTTAATTTCACTACGTTTGCCTGTTACTATTTTAAAAATAAAAACAAAGGATTAGGATGTCCCAGTGGGAGAGAAATTGGCTTAGGATATTCAAAGCCCTGAGCTCTAGCCCAGGCCTTTTAAAATAAATATTAAGTAAAAGTAAACAAGTAATAACCATCTATATGGATGTAGCTGTCTATGAAATGAGAGTAAACTTTCTAAGCAACATTCATTTAACAGAGGAAAGGGAGAGGAAGATGCAATGTAAGCAAAACCTTGGAGTACTTTGCAAAGAGAAGTAACACACTTTGCCACCAAGGTAACAGGATTGCCACCACCAAGGGTAACAAGTCACCTATGATTCTAGAATTAAGAAACTTCCCACTCCACTGTACATTGATTTGCTCATCCAAAAGTTTAATAACATTAACTCTAATCCCAGAAGTCCATTGTGTCTCATCAGGTATTAACTTGTCTTTATGCTGTAAGAGCTGACTAAATAAGGTATCCAGATATCAATTTCTGAAGAATACAGGGCAACTAAATGACCAGAACCATTATTCTCTATGTGTTAGGATTTTTTTAATGATACTCCAAATAGATTAAGATCCATTGCACTTATTTAAGTGCTGGTCTTCTCAAAATGAGTGTTTATCATAAGGCAGTTGACTTAAGCTTGGGATGTATGGAATACACATACTGTCCACATGGTTTGGAAGGAAGGTCACATCCAAGGATAGCAACACCATAGGTTGAATGAGGCACACTTTGAAGTAAAACCATATTTGTTTGTTTTTCTGTATGATACCCTTGGCTTGTCCTAGCCATTTAGAAAATAAATCTTCATTATATCTCCTGAAGATCAGACACCCATCTGTCAGTTTATTATACTGATTGTAGCAAAAACATTTGGAAGGGATGGTTTAATGAAAACTAATTCTTGGCTAAAAATCTGTAGAGAAACAGACTCGATCTCATCTTGGAAACCACAGAAGTTGGAAAGAACTCAGAACCCTCCTAGAGAGGAAACCAACCTCGAAGTCTCCATATAGTCAGATAACAAGCAGGAGAAGAGTGGGCAGCTGCCATGTACTGAGGAAAAACAGAGATGCAGACCCAACATTCAGAGGTATGTTGACTACGGGCATCTGTGAGAAAAGGGCAAGTGGGAAGGGATTGGTCATGGCAAGCATTGGGAAGCACTGGCCAGAACTGGAGAGTGTTTTGAAATCCTACCATTACTAAGAATCTAACTTGTTGAGGATAGTTGTGTGGATTTAAAGTCTCCTGTTCTCAAAATGAAAGAAAACCACTAGCAGATATTTGCCTCCCTGAAACCTAGTCATCTCTGATAATAGCACCCAGTATTTTCTTTGATGAAATGACTGCCTGTCTGTATGATCCAAGGATATTAAAATCCACTTGACAAAAATTTGTACAGAAGTGGAAAATCCTGAAAACAACCCCGTCCATGGAAAGGCTCAAAGCAGATAAAAATGAAATGTTCAGATTCTGCCATCAGTGCAGGAAACAGGAAACTAGCTAAAGCACACTGGTACTATGGGTTTTTCAGTAGGATCAAAACCCACCATGGAATTTGGAAATCTCTTATATCCTACAGAAGTCACTGGTGAGTCCTTGAAAACAAATGCACAGAGGGTCCCTGACACAAGTGACTGTATCAATCAAGGATATCAATTGATCCCACTGTACAGGATATCCATTTGATCCCATTGTACAGGATATCCATCTTCTCCCACTGTACAGGTTATCTATCTTATCCTATTGTACAGGATATCCATCTGATCCCACTGTACAAGATATCTATCTGATTCCATTGTACAGGATATCAATTGATCCCATTGTGCCCTTTTGTCACACTCTATAGCCACACACTGGGGTTTTCAATGCATGTTAAATCTACACAAACCCCACAGGTTAAAAGGAGATGAGCAAGGATTAGAGTACTAATTAGGGATTTTGTATCACAAATAAAAACTGATCAGCATGTTCTAAAACAAAAGAGTCTCTGAATTATCATAAAGTGTCATTACCAATAGATAACAGGAAGGAGGCTATTCAAGTGCTGTCCACAGGGGACAAAGGCCAAAATAGTTTGGAATATCTGCTCTCCTCAAGCCTGTTTCTATTAACATGAACTCATAATGTGATTACTGATCTCATTTCTAATTTAGTCTCCTCTGTAAGACTTTCTGACATGGAAGCTAGGAAATTTGAAGTCATTACCTACTGATGCTATCTTCACCTCTGAAATCTCATTCAAGTCACAGTCATGAATGTTGCCTGGATATCGTGATAAAAATGCAACTTCCTCTTGGTTTTGTGGTATATATGAGTTACAACTTGGACCCCAAATCATGGTTTTCAGGATAGCACATGGGTCTTATATAAGATCCTGTTTATTTCTCTCTTGATATATTGCAGCAGTTGCTGCCTAGGCCACTCTGCTTTCACACATCTCTCTCTGTTTTGATTTTATTCATTTTTATTTTAGAAACTATCATATTTTACATATCAATCCCACGTTCCCTTGCCCTCCCAACATCCCATGCTCCCCCACCGATTCCCCCACCTACTCCCAAGGAAAGTGAGGCCTTCCACAGGGGATCAACAAAGTCTGTCACATCATTTGAGGGAGGGTCTAGGCCCTCTTTTGGGTATCTTGGCTGCAATGGTATACCTCCATAGGGAATGGACTCCCAAAGTCTATTTGTGCTCTAGGGATAAACACTTGCTCCACTGTTAGAGGTCCCATAGACTGCCCAGGCCTCTTAGCTGGCACTCATATTCAGAGGGCTTGGTTCAGTCCAATGCTGGTTCCCCAGCTGTATGACTAGGGTCTCTGTGCTTTCACTAGGTCAGGTCACATGTTTCTGTGAATTTCTCCAGCACATTCTTGGCTCCTTTGCTCATCGCTCCTCCCTCTCTACAACTGGATTCCAGGAGTGTGGTTCAGTACTTAGCTGTAAGTGCCTGCTTCTGCTTTGATCAGCTACTGGATGAGGCTCTAGGATGGAATTTAATGTAGTCATCAATCTCATTATAGGGGAAGGACATTAAAGGCAGCCTCTCCACTACTGCCTAGATTCTTAGTTGGGGTCATCTTTGTGGATCTCTGAACATTTGCCTAGTGACAGATTTCTCTTTAAACCTATACTGGCTCCCTCTATTAAGGTATCTCTTTTCTTACTCTCCTCTATTCCTCCCCGTCTCAGTCTTCCTGATCACTCTTGTTCTCCTCCTCCCTCTTCTTCTCCTCTTCTCTTTCTCCTACCTCCCTTCTCTCTCCCCCCACTGTGCTCCCAATTTACCCAAGGGTTCGTGTCCTTTTCCCCTTCTCCAGGGGACCATGTATGCCTCTCTTAGGGTCCTCCTTGTTTCTTAGCTTCTCTGGCAGTGTGGATTGTAGGATGGTAATCCTTTGTTCTATGCCTAATATCCATATATGAATGAGTACATACCATATTTGTCTTTCTGCACAAATCTCTTTCTTTTTCCTTAGACACCCTCTGAACTGTACCTGGAGGAGAATGGACATCAGCAGCCTGAGATGTAGAAGAGCCACACATTCAACTGACTTCAACTGGAGACAAGCAGTTGAAGTGATTGGAGGTGTATTTACAGGCCAGACATAATAGAGAAGGAAAAAAAACAGAACATAACAATAAAACTCTACCTAACATTTTGTTTATCATGCTTTCCCTCTGAGGAGTACAGACACCTTCCCCAAAAGAACAAGTTGCTGCCTCTGATAAACAGTCAGAAATATCCCCTGCAATACTCAGAAAGCCCTGTCAGGTCTCTTTTGTTTCTACGGAAACCTCAGATTTGAATGTACCACCTCATACTACAGCAATCTGCAGACACTAACAACACCTGACCCAAAAAATGGAAGAGAGAGAGAGAAAGAAAGAGTCATGTTAGAAATAGAAAGAGAAATTAGGATATAATTTTGATGAAAGCCGTGCTGAGGACAGTGAGGAGAGAGATCCTGTTAGTGGAATTAATGTCTTCTCTTCCCTTCTGCATGTTTGCATACATTTCTAAGCTAGGATCCTGGCACCCTCATCCTTCATTGCACAGGCATCCAACTCTAGGCCCTGCTCATGCCATTCCTGGCCCATTAGAATTAACGCAAAGTCAAAGACTTTTTGAAATGCTATCTATACAGCAATACAAGGAATACCTAACTACAGATCCTATAGCTAGCACAGCAGATACTCTATCACTCATTTCTCCAACCACTACCTCAGTCTTCCTGGAGTAGCTATCCTGTCCAACGTCCTTGCTGCTATGCTTAAGATCCAATTGTCAGAAACTGCCTGTCAAGTGCTGCTTTATAGGGTCTCTCTTCTCCAGGTATCCAGACCCCAGAGCTAGCAGCATTATTTCTCACTACCCTAAGCAGGAGTGTAGCTCCTTGGTTCAGTACCAGCTTCACATTGACCCTAAGTCTACATTCACTTCACTGTGCTAGTCAAGGAAACTAACCCTTTCTGATACATTCCTCTTCTCCCCTCCATAAAACTATTTGTACTCTTGTTATCGTGTAGAATAATTCTGGGCATCCTGCATAAAAGGCTAGTTCCTTATCATGTACTTTGGCTTGGAGCTTTCAAACAATGAAGAGGAATCATAGTTCACCTCCAACAAGGAACATATGTTTCGCAGAGAAACAGAAAGCTGACAGAGCACCTGAACATCAAGGCTCACATCACTCTTGAGAATGAAAGAAAGTGTCAATGCTGGATGTGATTCTACTGGGTGGTTACAACTGCTAAACAGAGAATAGGAGGCAGAAACTAAATGCCAGCCTCCCCATTTGTTTTCAGTCCTCACTACAGCAAGTGGAGCTTCTCCTGAGCCTAAGATATCAAACCTTGCAATGCAAGTAAATTTCCTGAAAGGCACATATTGGCCTCCACCTCCAGGGCTTCTAGTTCAATGATCTTGGGTTAGGGCTGATAATTTGCATTTATGGCAAGTTTCCATTAAGTACTGATACAGAGAGTCTAAGCACTATGCATGGAGAATAGCTCTATAGATACTTGATATTTCAACAAGGGAATTTTACTCTATTAAGTAAGGCGAACCTGTAAGTTTAGAGAAAAATGACAGAGTGCTCCAGGAAAGAGATAAAGGTATCCTCAAACACCTCTGAGCAAGAAAGAAAAGCCAGGGAGAGACATGTGCGTGTATTTTAGTCACCATAGCAATGGTCTCTGATGTTCTAGAAAATATTATAGTGAAAACATGGTTGTTGGTTTTCCAAGAACAGATAGCAAGTTCATTTGATTTATATGGCTGGTGTTTTGAAATCCATAAAGGACGATATGTAGAAAAATGTTGGAAGTCTGCTTAAGTAGAACAGATAAAAACGGAGGTACCTTTTTCAACCAGCTACCTGTATAAAACTTTCCAGCACCATGAAGGCTGGTCTGTAAGGAGGAAGCTCCCAGCTCAGTTCCAGTATGTCTTTCTTGTACTATGACTAAAGGATACAGTATCTTTATAACCCTTACCTGGATGTGAATCCTGCAAGCTACATTCATGACCTGAAAAGCAAGATGTACCCTCTAGTTCAATAATGACATGACTGTTATAGGCATAACTAACCACTTCCTGATTGTATTTGGGGCCTACTCCACAGGAATGAACTCATGCCTAGTACTGTAAATCTGGTTAACAGCCCGTAGATGGGGAAAACCTATTACTCTTGTTTAGTTAAATGGCAAGGTTACTAAAATACCTCCTAAACACTGTTTTCACATAGGTTAGTGCTGTTTAGTACAGCAGGAAGCAGTGAATGCAGACATCCATAACTGCCCAAAGAGCTAAGAATAAGTTGTGGTGGAATGAAAGGCTATAAAGGAGTAAACTCTATCACACCCCTTTGAAGGTTTGGACAGCAAAGTGTAAGAAGGAATAGAAAGTGTGAGAATAGGTGAAGATACACCAAGAAGATATCTTCTGGACATGACTCATAGACATGAATGTCACACTCATGAACTTAGTGCTGCTGTGGTTAATTCCAGGAGACCTGCACATGACTGAGGACATCACCATTTCACTGTTGATAGGATAAAGGCCCAGGAGCCATTCTCTTCCTAAGGGACTACTGTCAAGTAAATGTTTTTAGGAAAAACGGTGTTATTTATACAATGGACACCTCTGCTCCAATAAAGAACCTTTCACACCCACTTGGACAAGAAACTTTATCTAAACTGAGTGGGTTACAAACAAAAAGAAGATGTTGAAGACTTATTAGGAAGAGGAGATTCAGTGGGAGTAGGATGCTGGGGAATGAGAGAGAACAGGGTTGAAATGACTAATACTCATTATGTAAATTTATGAATCTGTCAAACAATTTTTAAGAGAAAATGATGTACAAACTTTCATTGCCATTTTCAAATGATCAGCTCAAATCATTCTCACACATGTTTGATTATTTGAAAGATGAGATTAGCCCAATTTAGTGCAATACATTTTCATGGAGCACCTGCAAGGTCTTGTTCCAGATGCTGTTGACACAGATGAAAGCAATCCATTCCTACCCTCAAGCTGTGGACTGTCTGGTTATTCAGAAAAGGATGGCTCTTCAGCCCCAGGACTCGGGGTTCAGTGTTTAGTGCTGTAGTTATCAGCATGAGTTGCAGTGTCAGAATGAGCAGGTGTAAACCCTGACTCTGCAGCTCTCTGATTGTGTGTCTGATAGATTTGATTCTAATTTCTCCTTTAAAATAGGGATAATAACCCTCCTCCTTAACAGGCTGTTAAGGAATCAATGAGGAAATGCTTCTTCAGTGCTGAGCACAAAGACTGACACACAGCAAGCAAAGGAGAGACTGTCTTTCTTGGCTTCTGGACTCCAAGCTACCTGTCCCAGATTGACAACTAAGGCAGGAAGCAGAGAAGCTGCCAAGTTCCAAGTCCCTACATCCCTGTGTCCAAAAATCTTAACTGAGTAAGACTATGTTGCTTCCTTTCCACTGTTAAGTCTGCCTGGCTAACTGTACTATCATTCTGTCTGGCTGTTGCTTTGAAAGTTATGCACTTTTCCTTGCTTATGCAGCTTGGGTGCCTGTCTTATCTTTCTCTCCACCCTAAAATTCCATACACTTTCCTACTTGATCATGCCCTGTGGAGTTAACTCCTATGCCTTGCTCCTTTTATTCTTCCTACACCTTTAGATGAGCCCAGCTTCTGTGGCCCAAAACTGAACTGGGATTCACTCACTCCACAGGTGACATTCTGTCTGCCTCTTAAATTAACTGATCTTATGTCCAGACATTGGGAGCCACTTCTTCTAATGAAGCCTCAGAATAAAATAGATCTTGTCTCTGGGGCAATAGAAAAAGGAAATTCATATAATGAGCTCAAGGAAGGCCAGAGAACTCATGTTTATTTGGTTGCTTATCTTTATTCCCTACTTTGGCACACCTAATGCCTTTAGCATTACCTTCCTTACCAAGTGTGATTAGTGTACCTTCCAAAGGTGTCCAAATTGAACACAGAGTGCATATTTTAAATTTTGTTGATGGATATTTACTGTAGTAGTTATATAGGCAGATCTAGAATTTATACCAACCCTAGAAGGTGACCTTATTGATTGAACATAAAGTCTGTATTTTAAACTTTGGTGATGGATATTGACCTTAACAGTTATTTAGGCAGATCCAAGATGTTTATCATCTCTAGAATGTGGGCTTAATAAGAAACACTTGATATGGTTGATATCAGTTCCATGGAAAAGTGACAAAATCCAACTGCTCTGGGTATGAAGATGTACTGTAAATGTCCACACACAGCCTGGATATAGAGGTCCTTTGAAGAAATGTAGAGGTCTTTCATGAAGAGCAGGCTTTTGTAGACTCACAAGTGACTGAAAATAGGTTCCTTTCTCAGATGATTCTATAGAGAAACTAATCAGCTGCATAGATATCTAAACATCCAAGAGAAAGATTTAAAATCATAACATCTAGGATCAGATCTTTGCCAAAGATAAAGATGATAAACTCCCAAGTGACATCAGCATGAGCAAGGACATTCACTAGACATATGATTCTGATGATAGCACTGAAGAACTGAGCATATTAACAAACAAGCTAAGGACTTTGGCTTGAGGACACTAGAAAATTCAATGACTGTTTATAGTGGTCAGGAGTTTTGATAGAGAAATACCTATGGAAAATGTTTTGAATTCAGCTTTAAAGATTTTAATTTTCAACAACATGGTAAATGTGACAGATTTGCATCAAGGCAGCCAGAACCCATGTTCAAATCGGCAGTCCCCAAAAGGAATCAGAATTGGAGCTAAGATGTCTTTGTTTTTCAGGCTGTAAACAGTGACTAAAGACATGGCTGAGATGACTAATACATGAGTTCTGACAATGTCACAAAGGAATGCAGTGCTAGTTCTGGCACACTCCAACATTCAGATACTTAATTGAGTTGTGTTGTTCAGTGCAAATGCCTGAGGTGAAGAATGAAGCTGCTTGTCAGGTCCAGAAATAGTGAGTTCAGAAATGATGGTGCAGCTCTTTTGGAGGGTCAGGAGGAAGGCCACTGTTAACTGTTGATGCAGAGAACCAGATGACAGCTAACAGTGTTCACAACTGTCCGAGGTGACAAAAATCATGCCAGGTCATTAAGACTAAATGAGTATGCAAAGACATGAAGTCCAAGTGCC